TATGCTACTACACACATCCTACAGCAGTAATGCGCTGTATTTCAACATGTGAGACAACAGCAGTGCAGGTGTGGTCGCTCGTCAGCACTGCTGCATGCGAAATAAGCCTGGAAGACGGGTCGGGATCGGATCAGTCCGACACATGTATGTGCAAATTGTGCGGTCAGCCAAGGTCCGCGGGAGATTCGAGGTCGAGCGGCAACGACCCGAAAGCCTCCCGTGTACGGCGACGATATGATAGTCTAAAGATGAAGGCAACAGCGACATGAGGAAGAGGAGCAGATAGTCGGCGAAAGTAAAACCCCCAAGAGGACTGCAGACGTTTTCGTACGCAACAGCATGCACCATGCTGCTCCTGAACCCCGCAATTCTTGTTGTCCGGGCTGCTGTGGGTTCAGGGCTGCTGGGTGCAACAGCGGACCGCAACAGCAGTGTACCAAATCTACTGCTGTCGTCTAGTCTTCGAACCAGATCATCGTATTGAAAGACAAAGAAGACAATCCGTCGCGGAGATCTACGTGCAGTCTACAGCATACCATACGTGCCCTGCTGTAGCTAGACAGCGGTAGCCGTATTCCGCTGCATGCATCTGAAAATTGCCGCCGAGAGGAGCGGCAAGAGAGCCAAAAGTAGCTGTAGTCTATGTATCATCAGTGAAGCCAGCACAAGCCAGCAGAGTTTACAATCGGTCAGAGATACAGCACACAACAGAACCTCACCCGGTCGCAGGATGAGCACACTTTCCTGGAGCTTGGAGAGAGCAAAACCTGTCGATACAACCCACTGCCGTGCTCCCGCTGCAGCAGACAATCGACAAGCGGGCTGCTACGACAGGTCCCAACTGCTGAGTGCCCGTGTGGTGCTGGGCGTAAATTTTCCTGATGACGCCGGCGGCTCGGGGTGACGTCAACATGATGCAGCTTGTGCCGGGTGTTGAATCTTGCCAGAATCGTTTTCTGCGGAGTAAATATTATTTGTACTGCGAAAAGAAGGTAAAAAACAATCGTGCGTTGGGAGATAAGACCGGTGAACATACTACTCGAGCGGTTAACGAAGGACAAACACCTAGGGGTCGCCTTCCAAAACAAGGCCTCCAGCCGCCCTCCGCCCACGGCGCTCAGGCGGCCAACGGGAGAGACCGCCGCGAAGCTGACGGCTGCGGTGATGTCGGCCGCTGCTGAGACCGCGCCGCTGGCGAGGTGCGCACGAGGGCAAAGAGGCTGGTACACGAGCGAAGCGCAGCACGAGATCTCCGAAGCGTTCAAAGAGCGGCCCAGCAGCAACTGCGTGGGGCCTCAAAGAACAGCGCCTATGAGGCGACCCTGAAGGCGATGCTCAAGGCGGCGCGGAAGAAGCCCAGCATCGCGAGGTGGAGAGCAATGGAAACGTTCTTCGAGGGCTATGTACGGCAGCTCGAGAAGAAGAGCCGCGAGGGGGATCAGGCGGGTTTCTTCAGGCACCTGAAGATGATCGACGTCGAAGGTGAGAGGTGGTTCACCTCTCAGAACATCAAGGACGAGGACGGCAAGGTCCTTCGGGACCCCACGTTTATTCACCAACGGTGGGCACGGTGGTTCCACAAGCTTCTCAGCACCAAGTCGCCGACCATCGACCTGCATGCGGCTGACAAGATCAAGCGGTGGCCCACGTGCGTGCCACTCGACGACATCCCATCTCTACTTGAGGTTGAGAAAGCGATGCGGGAAATGGCCAACAGAAAGGCCGTCGGGCCGGACGACCTACCCGCTGAGCGGATCAAGCTTTTCCTGGACGGAGATCAAGGTCTCCTCCGCGAGGTCAGCGCCACTGTCGTGGACGTGTGGCAGACGGGGGACAAACCACAGCAGTGGAAGGATGCCACCATCGAAGTGCTGTTCAAGAAGGGGGACACGATGGAGTGCGGCAACTACCGGGGCATCTCTCTCGTCGCACACGCCGGCAAGGTGCTGCTTAAGGTCGTCGCTACACGACTGAGCCACTACTGCGAGCGAGAGGGCATCCTCCCGGAGGAGCAGAGCGGTTTCCGCCCACACCGGTCGACGCTCGACATGCTGTTCGCCATCCAGCGGCTCCATGAGCTCGCGAGGAAGAAGAGTACTGCGGTGTTCGCGTGCTTCGTCGACCTCACCAAGGCATACGATTCGGTGGACCGAGACATACTGTGGGACGTGCTCCGACGCTTCGGCGTGCCCCCGAAGATGCTGGCGGTCATTCGCCACTTCCACGAGGGCATGAGGGCGCGGGTTCGAACGGACGACGGGCAGTACTCGGAATGGTTTGACGTCGGCCAAGGTCTCCGACAGGGGTGCAACCTGGCCCCGCTGCTGTTCAACTTGTTCTCTGCCGCGATGCGCATGGTCGCAGTGACCGAGTTCGACAAGGACCCCAAGGTGACGGCGGATATGATCAAGATCGCAACACGAGTGGAGTGCACGGGCAAGAGGGGCAGGTCGGCGGGGAAGAAGGCGATGATGGTGACGGTCGCAGAGGCCCTGTGGGACATGCTCTACGCTGACGACGCGGCCATCGTCTCGCTCACGCCGGAGAGCCTCGAAAAGATGATGTCCATCATCGTGCGCGTGGCCGGCCTGTTCGGACTGATGGTATCGGAGCCAAAGACGGAGATCATGTGCATGCTGCCGAAAGGGATCGAGGAACGCCCGTTCACGGTCAGCGCCGCCAGCCAGACGTACAAGCAGCGAGATCTTTTTGTGTACGTCGGACGTACCATCTCAGCGGACCGGAAGGCCGACCGGGAGATCACGAGCCGCAGCTGCCGAGCGTGGAAGTGCTACCGCCGGACCAGAGCTTCGATGTACGACAGGCGACGGGCCGACCGCCAGCTCAAGATCCGGCTACTCCAGGCTGAAGTGGTGGAGACTCTCCTACATGGGTGCGCCTCGTGGAGCCTAACAGCGGAGCACTACACGAAGCTCAATAGGACCCACCGCCAGTTCCTTACACGGTGCATCGGCTGGAGCAAGCGGAAACGCTCAGACCGCCCCCTGTCCTATGACCAGGTCCTCATCCAGGCAGGGTGCGAGGAAACCATCGAGGCCACCGTTCGCAAACGTAGACTGTGTTTCGCGGGCTTTGTTATGCGCATGGAGGACAACCGCCTCCCCAAGCGCATGCTGTTAGGAGCGATGGCGGGGGGCGTCGGATACCGGGGCGGGCAGGAGAGCGACTGGGTGTCTCGTCTAGGAGAGGACCTCGTGGCCTTCAACAAGAGAAACGAAAAGGAATGGGGGAAATGGAAAGAGAGCGCCTAGGCCCCGGAGGTGTGGTACAACAAGGTCGAGGACGGGGCAGCATGGTTCTTGAGGAAATGGCACAGGCAGAAGGCGGAAGCGTCCGCGAAGCGCCAGCGCGCGAGGGAAGCAGAAGCAGAGAGTACGGCCATCTCAGGACCCAAGAGAAAGAGAGTCGGGGAAACGGCGGTGGGGGGGGAGAAACGGCGACCGGGCACTGCTGTAGAAGCGAGTAGGGCGGCCGAGGCATCACTGGTGACGAACTATGTACCCGGCTGATGTTGTTGCGCCCTGTTCCCCTCCCTGCTGTATGCTATTCTCCTTTGTGTATGTCCTTTGTATTGCCTTCGGCCTCTGTGCTGTTTTTTTTTTTTTCGTGTCCTCCCTGCCTACTCTGCTGTGTTGGGTACCTTGATCTCGCTTTTTGCTGTTGCTTTCGTTTTCTGTGCATCTGGCTGTCTGCCCATCTGCCGCCTCTTTGTTCTGTCTGCTCCGTTACTCCCATGCCCTGGTGCGTAGTGCCTGGTGCTGGTATTACCCTTTGTTTTTTTCTTTAGGCGGATGTGGCAAGTGTCCTCCTTTATTTTCGTTTTTGTTTTATTCTTGATCGGTTTCCGAGGGCTTTCTTCTCGAACGGTCGGTGCGGTACCTGTTATTTTTCCTCTATCATTCTGTTTTCTTTTTCCGAGTGGTTTGTACTCTTTTTTTGTTTTGTTTCCCCGCGGCGTCGTATGTGTCGGGTTTTGAGACCACGGGCTCCCCAGTTTTTGTGGAGAATAGAGCTAATGTGAGAAACAACAAGAACAAAACTGCTCTGCCGCCTCTTTGTCCTGTTTGCTCAGTTACTCCCATGCCCTGTTGCGTAGTGCCTGGTGCTGGTACGTTACCCTTTGATTTGTTTTCTAGGCGGGTGTGGGAAGCGTCCTGTTTTATTTTTGTGTTTGTTTTATATTTCGATCGGTTTCCGAGGGCTCGTTCCTCGAACGGTCGGTGCGGTACGTGTTCTTTTCTTTTTTTCATCTTGTTTTCTTTCTCCGAGTGGTTAGCACCCTATTTTTTTTTGTTTTCCCGCGGCGTCGTATGTGCCGGGTTTTGAGACCACGGGCTCCCCATTTTATGTGGACTACTTGAATAGAGGTAATATTGTGAGAAACAACAACAACAACAACAACAACCACAACAACAACAACAACAACAACTACGGCCTACTGTTGTGGGAAGCGTAGCTTTCCCTGAAGACCCTGATGATGACTCACTTTGTTCTTGTTCTCTTTATTCTTATCTCTTAACACAGCAGTACACTTGCTGTTCTTAGCTCCGTAGATAGACTGAACGGAAGGGGGCGCGGGCCGCTCCTTGCTGAGAGGGGGGGTTCTATGGCTATATCCCCTGGTAAGCAATAATCCAAAGGAGTTGCAGTTCCCGCCAGATCTACATGTATATCTCGCCGAGAACTGCCGTTAAGATCCTGGTACTCAAATCCCAGAGCATTCGCCCACCCTCGAGGTTCGTATATGCAGATACATGGAAACCCCAAGATATGACGAAGTCAAATCTAAAATTCAAAGATGAATCGAACATGCGAAACTCCACAACTCAACAATTCACCCTTCCGCATCTCTACATTAGATGGACAAAGCCCAACGTTGTGGCACGAATATGAAAGCGCTAATGAACAAAAGGGAATAACAGCAGAAGCCCACACGGAAAACAAACGAAAAGACCATAGCCTAAGGACAGGCGACACAGCCAAACTCCATCACCGAAAAGGAGAATCCAATCGTCAGAACGACAAAAGCAACGAAGCAGAAAACCGAATAGTAAAACGACGTACCAAGCCAACGATGAAAAACCGAACGCCACAGGGACGAAACACAAGGGGTCGTAGTACCAACCAACTGACCAAAATCGCGGCTATCGAAAAGAAAAACCACACCCTATAACGAAACGACGTACCAAACGACATCAAGGCGATCGTCCAAAGCACGGGAAAAGGGGTCATAACAAAACGAAACGCAACACCGTCGCAAATGCCCCAAAAAGCACAATTATGGGCGAAGGTCCCAAACAAACAAAATACGTCGGGAAAAGCCAAACCACCAACCTTAAAACTCCAAAACAGACGGTCAGAACCCCAACTAACTGATCGTACGACGAAAACAAAATAACACCATACTTGTACACTCAAGCGCTAAGCAGTGCGCGCAGGATCGCCGGGAAGCGGATCACCCGCCTCAGCACCACGCGACATATCGACGTTACGAAGGATGCCCTTGAGGAGAGCGCTACCACGGTTTACTTGGAGGCACCACGATCCGCACAAGGCATTTGTGGCGGTATCATATCGAGCAGCGGAGAGGGCGATCTTGATCGGCCCAGGCTCGTCGAGGAAGCGAACGATGTAGTGATCTTCGTGAAGAGCAGGTCAGGAAATCTTGCCCAGCCACCAGAGACCATCTTGAGCCTTGTGCCAGAAGAAGGCGCCCACAGGAGCAGGAGCAGCGGAGAAGCGGCGATCTCAAGTAGAACCAGAGACGAGGAATAACCCGAAGGCAAGTGTCTTTCTCGTTTAGCACGTACCATTTCCCGAGCAGCGGTACCAACGCGCATGGCGCGATACCGCCGATTCGTCTGGCGATGTTGGTCGGGCGAACCCGCCCAATACCGGAGAATGTGGGATCTGGAGTGCTGAAGGTCCATCTCGCGTTCCCAAGAAGGACGGAGAAGACCTTTCCAGTGTGTCTGACACAAAACAGCAATGATACCACCACCACCACGAACAGACTGGTGACCCGTAACTTGGTCCACCTCCAGACGTTCGACCGGAGTCGACAACTCGTCTTCCGTCACATGGTACGGAGGAGATTTGTTCGTGTAGTTGTTCAGAAGGTACTGAGTGAGGCCGGCAGGCAAAAACCTAGGCATGTCATCGGTGTCATGAAGACTGAGGCACGGTTTGCAACGCGCAACCGAAACACAACGCTTCGAGTCCGTGCCTGGCAGGTCCGACGGAAGATCCAAAAACAGCAACTTTGTTGCCAAAGGACTGCCATCAGGAGTCTTCAGACAGGGGCCAACAGCCAAAATCTTGAAGGGACCAGTCCATAGCAAAGAAAGTTTCGCTTTGAGTACCTCATCATCAATGCCAGCCCGAACACCTGAGCGAATGGTGGATTCGGAGTAATATACCCAAACCCAACCACCGACAGTATAGGTTGGACGCTTGTGCAAAGCATCCGAAAGAGCTGAATTGCGACGCTCAATCCGTGAAACGGACAAGGTGTGCTTTTCCCGCACCAGCGCGTAAGCACGACGCTGGCGATCGGCAGCAAGATCGCAATATTCAAGGTGATCACGGTCTAAGCTTTGATGACCTCGAGCATAAGGATGCTCGATAACCGACATCGGTAGTCGAGGCAGACGGTTCATGCGCACTTTATTCGGCGCTAAACCGGTGGCGGTGCTAACAGAGTTGTTATACGCAAACTCCATGTGAGGGAGATGGGCATCCCAGTCGTCTTGCCGTTCGTTGACTACCATGGCAAGTATTTGCGCCGTAGTGCGGTTGACACGCTCTACACCGCCATTAACGTTAGGGTGGTAAGCGCTAGTCGCCACTGTGCGTACCCCGAGAAGCTTGTAGACAGCGCGCGACAGTTTGGAACAGAACTGCGTGCCATTGTCAGACAAGAGGCTCGACGGGCAACCCCACAAAGGGATGTACCGATTTACCAATATATCTGCAGTACCTTCGGCAGTAAGCTCAGCGGCTGTGACGGCGCACATGTCAGCACGTCGACTGAAACGGTCGGTGAAGAGCAGAATATTCGCGTTACCCCGACAGGTGATCGGTAGGTTTGCCGAAATAATCGACACTCACGGAGATGCCAGGTCCGGATGGTAATGGCATGCTCAAAATTGGCCACCGCGCCGTGTGCCGAGACGTTTTGCGACCTTGACAGTGCAGGCAATGGCGAATCCACCATTTAGTAGAAGCGCTCATGCCCACCCACCAAAAAAAACGCTCCAACATACACAATGTGCGAGCAGCACCAAAGTGACATGATACATCGCATGGCATAGTTGCATGATCCACGGGAGCATCAACATGGGAACATAAACCCGAACAGGTTCATCACTTGAAAGACAGGACGCCCGCCCGCCGGGGCGTGTGGACGAAGCGGACGGAATTTGAATCGGTTTCTGTACAAGGAGAACCATGCCATCGTTATCGACGTGCAAACGACTTTTGACAGCCAATTGACGGATGTCCGAAAACGACGGTTGACGGCGTAACGGGATGTGAACCAGAAAACCCGGCGGTAAAGTCGACGGCTGGCCGAGTTGAAGATAACGGATGGTGGCATCACACACCGGTTCGCTACGTTGTTCTCGTGCCCAACCTTTGAATGAGAGAAATTCGCGACAGATTCGCGGAAGTCGAGTTCAGCGCGCGAAGGTGCAACATCCTCAACCGCCAGTGGGACGGGCGAAGAACCAAGCAACGGCTCTGACGTGGGCGCCGATGTCGACGCACGCACGCTTGGCAGAGGCGCTGACGTGGGCGCCGACGTCGACGCACTCACGCGTGAAGTGGCTGGCGAAACCGGGCCCGAAGGCGTCGGAATGACAGAATCGATCGGTCGGTGATCCGACGAACGAGATGCACGAGGTGCGACAGCCACAGGGGTGGTCCCCGGAGATTCCTCAGAGTCCAAACAACCATCATCAACAGCAGGGCGAGGAGCACCAGCAGCAGCGGCCGTACGCCCACGAGTTCGTGTTGAAATCACTTCGGTGGGATCAAGCGAGCGTGGGCGCGAGACACCACGAGAGGGGGCACGAATGGTGTCGCCCCCATCTTCCACAGGGAAAACTCCAGAAGGCCGGAGAACAGGTTGGTTGGACGCAACCAAGGAGGGGCGATTGCGAACAATCGCAGAACCCAAGGCACCAAGGACGGTTGGCGGCAAGTCCGGCACCAACCGAAACCCGGAAGAAGCATCAGGGGCAGTGAATCCCACACGTGGGCCGTGGCTCCGAAAGTCAGCAAAGTCAGGAGCAGAAGGCCGTAGCCCACCCAAGACAGAGCCCGGAACAGACGGAAGGAGCCCACCCAAACCAACACCCGTCGGAGCGCAAGAAGGCACAAGACCACAAGAATGGATGAAATACACAGCCTCGTCATCAGCCGTTGGAGTCAAACGACTGCGACCAGAACGATCACGCCCGGTAGCTTCCATCGGCAGGCGAGAAAGGAAGTCGGCGTTACCATTCGCGGAACCTTTGCGGCTCAAGAGTGTACGTATACGCGGTAAGAAACTCCAGCCAACGTTGTACGCGGGCGTTGTTCTCACCAACTTTCACCAAATGCTCGAGAGACTGGTGGTCGGTGAAAATCTTGAAGTGGGTACCCCATAGATAGCCACGAAGACGTTTAATGCACCAAATGATGCTGCCAGCTTCAAGATCGAGAGGAGTCCAACGGCGCTCAGACTCCAAAGTCGCTCGTCTAACGAAAACGATAGGCCGAATAGAGCCATCAGGTTGCTCTTGTTCAAGGGTGCCACCAAACCCATCGCGGCTCGCGTCACAATAGAGGCGAAAGGGCCTCGACCCATCAGAGACGGCATCCAAGTCTGGATACACCACAACTGGCGGAGTCACTAATTCGGCAAGGAGCTGCCGAACGGCGGATTCCATGGAATCCGTGAGGTCAAACTGCATGTTCTTCTTGAGAAGGGTGGTCAGAGGGCGGACACGCGTAGCCATTTGTGGGAGGAACTTTCGGTGATAGCTCAGACCACCAAGGAAAGCGCGTAGCTGATTGGCGTCTTCGGGCATAGTCTAGGCATGTTGGTGAGCGCAGCAACTTTGTCACCGTTAGGCCTGACACCGTCTGGAGAGGTGGTATGCCCAAGCATTTCCGCTTCCGTGGCTCCAATAGTAGTGGGTTTGGGAGGCGTCAATTTCAAGTTGTGCAAACGCAATATGTCGAAAAGAGAGCAAATGGTTGCTACATAAGCAGTGGGGTTCTCATCAAAAACAATCAAGTCGTCCAAGAAGGAAGCGACACCGCGAAGGTTTTTGATGACTTCGTTGACGACCTTAAAGAACCACCCAGGAGCGGCAGAACTACCTTGAGGCATTTTCAACCACTCAAAAAACGCAGAAGACGTAACGCCGTGAGCGGGATGGTATCACGATGCACCGTGATTTGATGGAACGAAGACTTCATGTCGAAGAGAAAATAAATCTTCCCTTTCAACAACTTGTCCAGAGTATCGTCAACTCTGGGTATCGGAAGCTGGCTAAGCGCACAAAGCTTATTCAAATTGCGATGATTGACAAAGTGATACGCACACCACCAGATTTCTCGGGGATGGCAGCCAAGGGACTCGAGTATGGAGACGTAGAGTGTTGAATGAGACCCCCAGCAAGATATTGGTCGAGAATAGCGTCCACTTGCTTCGCCACTGGAGGGTCAACTCGGTATGGGCGAGAGGTGACTGGCTCACTGCCAGGCGGAACGGTCAACTTGAACGGAAACAGCGAGCATGAGCCGAAATCCGTGGGAGACCGGGAAAACACATCGAGGTATTCGCACAAAACATTACCCAACTCGGTGATAACTTCAGGCGACCAGGACCGTGCAATTTGACCGTGATTTCTCTCATATGAGGAGGAAGTTTCGACCACATGAGGAACAAACTCTCGCGTTGTTCCGGGCTCAAGCGTTCCATCAGGGCCGGCGGGGGTGAAGCAAAGGGATTACCGGGAGACCCTTCGCCACACGCCGCGTGCGACGGTTTGGTAGAACGTCCTTGCAAGTTGTACACAAACGGACCGACCGTTGGCGGCACAACGGAACGGGGGTCCCCATCGGAGAATACGGCACCAGGGACGCAACCAGCCAAAGGATACCAAAAAAACAAAGATAGGAGGCGGACTCCAGAAAAAACCATATGATTTGGCGTCGTCAGGATGGACCCCTCCTCGTGCAGAAAAAAACGCCTCCTGAATGTGCAAAAAACCTGTTTGCGGCGTACGCTACTTATTTATCGGGTGAGACTGTTTTGGTGATGTATTAACTTCACGGGAGGTAGACGACCANATGTGCAAAAAACCTGTTTGCGGCGTACGCTACTTATTTATCGGGTGAGACTGTTTTGGTGATGTATTAACTTC